ATGTTCCCTTTTTTTTTTTGCTCCCCTGTAATATAACTGGCCTGTGCGCGCGAATAGGCAGTTTGGGCAGCTAAAGTATGAGCTTATAGATAAGCTTGAAAGCAAAAAGGTCACGCTTCCCCACATGCACGAATTGGTTATTTGTGTTCTTGCGTGTCCCGAAGCTCTTTTAATTGATTAACCACCATTTTCATATATTCGAGACGTCTGAGGATTTGAGCCACCTCTTAGGCACGTTCAAGCAGGTTTGCCAAATTACGCTTGTTGGGTAATTCCGGTCGTCAGGGCCAATTTAAAAAGTATGTCTCGTATATTCCGCTCCCCAATATCAAGTCGTACGTTCAAGTATAATATTTTATCAAACTCGTGATATCGTTTTCTTTTTTTTTAACACATATTGGTGGTTAAGCCCATAACCAGGACGATTCTTCGGGTGGGGTTGCGCATAACCCCTTGCTTTCAATGGAATGACACGTGGCACAGTCGGGTTATGTGATGTACACCGCGTCTTGAAAGTGCGTATCACTAAGCACATGCTTTAGTAGAATCCTGGTGGCTCCCTGTCGAGGATCCATCGACCGACCACTTACACCACACGGAATACTTTGCTATTTATAAAAAATCCATATGACACCCAAATGTTAGGTTTGCACTGTTACTATGCTCCGACTGTTATCCTACCGAATCGTTGTCGTCCTTTTGCGGTTTTGTAATGTTTACTGTCCCTCACTTTGAGCATCTCTCCTCACAGTACTACGTTAGAGCCGTCCGGAGAAGTGATATTACTTAACTTAAAAGTATAGGAGGTTTTATTAAATTATATAAAAAGATGGCTTGGCGCACTGGTAGAAGAGGAGCTCAAACTTGACAGACTGATGGTTTAAAGTTTAGCCCATATTTTTATTAATGTGTCTTAATGACTCGGAAGAGACCCCCGAGTTACGGTTTTTGTTTTTGGTAAGCACCGAAGGAGTGGACTTCGCGGAATGATTGGCTCTATCGACGTTGTTTCCTTGCCCGCTGCCGCTGCAGTACCAGGCTCACACCCCTCTTTTGGACTTGTGCCCACTTTCCATATCGGCTTTACAAAATATTCGTTATCAGCCGGTGTATAAGCTCCAATTTTTTAACCCAGTAAGTATATTAAGAACGCTCAGTCGTTTTGACCTTTTGATGACATTCTTCAGTTGCAAACACAGTTTTTCCATACTGTTTATCACTCGGATGAAAACACTTATTGGTATGAATCTAATTGGTTTTTCTAATAAAGACTGAAGAGACATAGCTTAAGGTGCTCCAACGGGTCCAGTAAAACTGTCGCTGCTGAGCTGGCCCTATTCCGCCGGTTTAATAACTGCCCCGGTGTAAGGTCACTCATGAGGTCGACGAAGTGGCTAATGTATCAATAATTACTTCCAACAGACGGTTTATATTGCTCCGCTAAAGGCACTTGTTAAAGAAAGAGTAATCAATTGGAGCCAACGCTTGGTGAAATGCACTAATAAAGTTATAGTAGAGCTTACTGAAGATGTTTCGCCCGACCTGGTGGTACATCTTATTTGCCAATTTAGAGAGTTGCGGCGTCCAAGAGCTAAATGGTAGACCATTGAAAGAGCAGACTTGATCGTGGCTACCCCTGAAAAATGGGACGGTGTCAGCCGCAGCTGGCATAGTCGCTCTTATGTAAAAAGAGTTGCTTTAATCATCACCGATGAGGTTCTTCTAGGCCACATGCGCAGCTTTTTTAGAGAAATGATAAATATTTGTTATGCATAGACCACATGCTGGGGGAGGAGCGGGGCCCCGTCCTTGAGATCATTGTGTCCCGCTTTAACTATATAAGCTTTCAACTGCATAGGAAGGTTATCCTTACTTTAATAACAATAACAATAATAATATACCTTGCAGATCCGATTTGTCGGCTTGTCCACTGCTTTGGTCAATGCACACGACTTGGCGCACTGGCTGGGAGTAAAAAATTCACCAGGTTTTTTTTTATTCCATGACGTTCACTACCTGGCGTAACTGATTGTGCTGAGGGCTTTACAACTTCCGTCCCTCTGTTCGCCCTGTCCCACTTGAGTTTGCGTTTTAATCATTATTTTCGGATATTTTCTAATTATTACTTCTTTTTTAAGGCCCACATTGAGGGTTTTCCAGGAGCAAAGCCACCCGACTAGCCGAAATACTCGTCTTTTTCCATGTCATGCCAGGCAGGCATTGCTGCCCCCTCATGGCGACGATAAACCACCCGACTTACTCTTCTATACTGACCCATTCTCACGTGCAACCGACCCTGGTCTTCGTTTCCTCAGCAGGCAGACCACGCGACCTACAATTCTTATTGGCTGCTTTGGGTTTTTGACTTTCCTTTGTACAGGCTAACTGCGTTGGACCTGATTTTTTTTTTCTTTCTCAGTCGCTGATGATCGCCCCAAACAATTATGTATTAATAAAAGCAGCAGTTCCTCTCCTTTACGCTGGAGTTCTGAGTACCTTTATCCTTTCTAGTGACTATCAATGAAAAACGGCTTGAAAGTCTTCTTCAAAACATCGTGGATACGACATTGCGGCACACTCAGTTTTGGTGTTGGCCTGCGCCATGTGGGATTGGTTGAAGGTCTCACCCGGCAATTTAGTTGTCGGTGCGCACTTATTGGCACTAATTATAACGAACAAGCGATAGGAGGATAGTCGAAGAATTATTTTGTGCACAATGTGTATTAGTTTTAGTGGCGACAGCAAACTCTAGCGTGGGGCGTCAACCTGCCTGCGCACTTGGTGGTTGTCAAAGGCAACGCAGTCTTGCTTGGTTTTGCTTTTATGCCTCTTAATGAGTTTGCACTGCTATTTTTAAGGCATCGAATTCTTCGATGTCAAGACGAAGAAATACAAGGAATTTCCTGTAGCCGACGTGTTGCAGATGATGGGTAGAGACTGCCGTCCCCAGTTTGACGAGTCAGCAACGGAGTGCTTTTCTTCCTTTACTCTCATGATGTTGCCGCTGCACATTTCCTCCTTCCAAGCCGTAATTCTTGTGCACGATACTAAAAAGAACTTTTATAAAAAGTTTTTTTATGAGCCGTTTCCTATGGAACGAAGTTGGCCGATGTGTTGGCCGACCACCTGAACGCGGGTGCCTTCTACCCTCTTGCGCTATTTCTGGCACATACGCTAGCCTCATGTCTTTCTTGAAGAGATTGTGTCCGGGTCCGTCTTTAGCAAGCAGTCTTCTGTGGAGTTATTAACTTGAACGTATTTCTTCCGAAGACTTACGCAGAGTCCCAGCTTCTACGAGCTAGAGAGAGTTGGTATATCTAGTTTGCTTCCATATAAAGCAAATTTATATGCTCAGATTTCGTTATTACCAGACCAAAAAAATATAAACAATTATTTATCGAAACTTATTCAAAACACTATTGCAGCGCTACAGGAGGCCGACTGCTGCGTGGTTAACGAGAACGACAGTCAGTTTTCCGACTTTCTCACTTTTCTATGACCTTTTATCTTCTCTTAGTAGACTCTCAGCGATTACTCCATCGACTTTGGGCGCCATTGCTTCATTCTGTTATTTAAAACACTCGACAGTGGGAATGCTTTCCAAGGCTCTCGCTGATAATTTGTAGCAGTCTGATCTACTCAGAATCATGAGTAACGCCAGTGAATTCGCCGAAGTACAAAATACTAACACTGCTAGTCTCGTAAAGCAGTCCGTCATCATAGCTTTCAGGTCCCCGTCCGGCACAACGAGGATCATTTCAACGCACAGCTGGCGGCTGTATTTCCTTGGAAAGTTGGCAAGGGCTCCTACGACGGGCCAGCTCTGCTTGGGCGCAAAAGCTTGTAAGTTTCTTAACACCTTTTTTTTCCTCTGCAGCCCCCACACAAAGGCAAATCTTTTGCTGCAAGCTCGATTCGAAAGGTTTGAGCTCCCCGTGGTTGACTACCAAACCGATACCAAAACAGTACTGGATCAAACCTTTCGAGTGCTTTAGGTGCACTTGCCCGCCCCACGTAATCTTTTTGCTCTGTTGAGCGTTTTTTAACTTATGCAAGGCGATGATCGATATTGCAAGTAGCGGCGGCTATTTTGTCTCTACTCATTCACTGGTTGGGTTGCTGCAGATGATTGTGCAGGTACAGATTTATTTAGCTTTGGGTCTACCTTACAGCTTCTGAAGAACTTATATTTATAGACTCGGTGGATTCACGGAAACAGTCTTCTTACTACCCCCGGAGTGGAAGAGTCTCACTTGCCAAGCATCATGCACATGATTGGTGCTGCAGGCAATGACTGCCAAAGCCCCGCCATTCCCGATGGTCCTCTTAGGGGACTTTGCAAGTTCTACCAAGCAAATAACAAGTCACAAGTCACGGCTACACTTCAAGGTTTCGTAGGCCCTCGTGTTTGCTAAAAGTTGTTCTAATCTTTTCTTGCCGAGCTTTTTAAATTTTTCTTTCGGCAGAGCACCGAGTTTGTGGAAGAGCTCCCCGCCATGGAACTGACGGCTATATTGTGCGCGGTACCCCATCTCACACGTAGTTTTCAGATCGATCTTTCTTTACGCCTGACCCGCGCAACTTGCAGGACTCCATGGACGAGCCGCTGCATTTTCAGACGGAGTATGCTTCGAAGGTGTTTCTGATAAATAAAACAAAAAGGCGTGTTATTCAGCTTCTCCTATGCTCTTTTGCACACTAATGTAATGAAGTACAGAGCCTGGACACCATTCGACCCTACCAGTGGCCTCGTGATGTACCCGTCCAGTGGATTTTGGTTCTTCAGTGTTAGCATAATTGGCCCTGTGCATGGCTTTTCCATTCTCCTGAAATACCGCTCGTACTCATCTCAGATGTGCACAAGGCGATGCGTTGCTGGCAATGAAGCGAGTCAAGCACGTCCGCAGTAAGTTTCGTACACGTCAGTCTGGTGGCGAGTAAACCTACTGATGCTTGAATGCAGACAAAACAACAATGCTTTGGCGTTCTCTATTCCACTTTTAACTGGTGTAAAATTGGGATGGATTACCATTCAAGCCCACCTGTCTAGCACTTGCTTTCTGGGACTCAACGCATGCATAGCGATGAACTTTTTAATAAACTAACGAGGTTTTCAGTGTTTTCTTTATTGCATATTCTGGCCGCCTGCAAAAGAGAGTCGGCGCCAGCCTCTAACATTTTCTGAGCGATGTACTGCCCTGCATGAGCGCGTGAGTACAATGCTATCATAAAAGAATTGCATGCTACCGAGCTTCTCCGCGTCCTCCCTCGTGTGCATGGCGAAAGTCGCCATGTAAGTCACCCTCTGGTTGTCCTCAACGCTAAAATACGCAATCTCGAGTACGGCAGACTGCCTTTCTTGCGAATCTTTTTTTATAGTACTCTAAAGAGATAGTCTTAAGCGAGTTCACAGATAGTAATTACACCTTTTACACCAGTGGGTATGCTGCAGCCTCCCTGAACGTGAAGCATCAAAGCGCGCTCCGCCAAACAGCAAAGCTCTGTTTCTCTGTCATTAATGACGGACACAAGCCCTCAGTGGCATCATCATTTATTTAAAGTTAAAGGGGCAGCCCCGCTATTAATTAATTTTACCATACCGCTTCTTATTTCAACCGCGAGAGCGCCTTGACCGACTGCGTAGAAGAACTCATCGCCATTCTAATTTAAGTAAGCTTTTAAAAATTATAAAGATCTAGGCCATAAAACTGCAAGTAGTACAGGAATCTGACCAATCTGATCTTGCCAACCCATTCGATCAACCTCCGCTACAGCAGATAGACCTAATAAAGTGTGCGAAATAATATGAAATATGTACCTTTGGCTAAAATTATTGCATCGTACTTGTCACATTCACAAAGATTTTTCAGTCGTGTGTTAACATTTTCTTTGAATTAACTTGCTTTGTAGTAGAAAGAATATTCAAGTATTTTTATAAATATAATTTTAAAACCTCTTATATCCAAAAAAAAATTAGTTGAGGGTATAATTGCTTTAACTGGGAAATCCGCCTTATTGAACTCGAACCTACACAGAAAATAAAAAAATTTAAACTATTAATTGTCTTAGAAGTAGTTACTAGGACCAAAATTCTCTATACCTACAGTGGAATTTTTCGGCAGACTATTCAGGGTGGTGGGAGTTGCGTTACTACCAAACTTGGGGTGGTATAAAACGCAATCATGGGGATCATCGCGCTTGCAGATAGCTCCTATCCTTAAATTTTTCTTACTTATAATAAATTTTAAAACTGCCTACAATAAAATTTAGTTTTACAGGTAGACTGGATGGAAGATCTTTTAAAGAATGAACAACAAGATCTACTTCCCTTCTTTGCAGGGCCAGTTCAAGTTCTTATATAGATTATAAAAATTATATTAAATAATAAACTATTAAAAGAAAAACCTTTAGTAAACAATGACTTTTCTCCTATTTAAGGTAAGGGAAGACTGTTAAATTTATCTCCAAGGGTATCATATGTAACTACTTCGAATATTTTCTTAATTAAAAAAATTAATTATTAAGTAAGTATATTTAATATGAGATGAGGCGAAAGAATTTAAAACCTCCGGATAGTGAAACTTAGCAAGTCAATAACTTTATTAGTTTGGACAAGAGCAAGTTCGCTTTTTCTGCTACCAACGCGAATTACGCCCATTACCTTGAAGTATTAAATAAATAACACACAAAGGCCCGTAGGTCGTCCTACTGTAAGAACAGAACTGCCTTGCCCTACAGCCTGCGCTACTTTTAATCGTTTTGTTTTACCTGAGCTTTTAAAGTTTTAAGTATTAGCAAGAAAAGATAATGAAGTTAGTAAAATATTTTAAAATATATCGAGGAAAATTTGAGGCCTCGACTGCTCTCTACCCTTTAAACTCACGGTTATTATTATACACGTCTTCAACCTTGAAAGTTTTTTTACTGTTATCTAAAGCATAAACTTTAACTAAACAGAGAAAAGTTTGGAGCTTATACTGCGCTTCTACTAATGCTTTTATCCTTCGTATACTATATGTATTCACTGTCGGCCTACTTAATCTTTCTACCAACTACAGTGATTTTGTGAGCAGTTGAAGACTGGAAAAAGCTTTCTTGTCTGTCTAATTCCCAACTTTTGGATTGCACTTTTGGAGCAGTTAATTAAGGCAAAAAATAGTTTTTTTCAATTATTATGGGCTATCAAGTGAACTTTCGGTGAGTTACACCATCTTATTACGAACTCAACAATAACCCCTATAATATCAAAATTAGGTAAAAATTCTAATCAAACCTAGTTTTGAATATCAGTTTTACAGGCTATAAAGACTATCAACTCTTCTTTTCCTAGACTTTGGGAGTATATATAGCAAGTTTTTCTCTGGTTATATCAACTGGAGTAGATGATTTTATGCTCTTAATTAACCAGAGTTAAAGTTTTAAATGTTGCTATTTTAAGTGAAGACTGTAAATTGTGAATTCTTTATACTAGCTAAGGCCTCCACTATCAAGTAAAAGTAACACCGCAACTTTAACTTAATGAAAGTCCTTAAATACGTTTTCATCCGTTAGTGCAGTAAAAATTCTATAAGTTTACGATAGGATACCCTGGCTGTTGGCTATAATTTTCTTATGGACTTAGCTTAGACTATTGTTTTTTACTAGGCGTTGATTTTAAAAAGGAGAGTAGAAGATTAAAGTCCATGGTTAATAAAAGCTTAGTTTAAAGGTTCGAGGATTTAATTTAAAAAAACCTCTATAGTTTCGTACAGCGCCTAGGATACGAGACGGGGTTAATTCTATAGCGAATCCCCCGGTTTATTAAAGATACGTTTAACTAACTCTACTCTTTGGTTAATTCTTACCTGAAGCCTTTATTGCGTAATATGACCATAATAAAGATTTTAGACACTAATAAGTAGTGGAAAAGCACTAAAAAGCTTTATAAACTTGCTTAATGAAATAATTTAAAAGGAATGATGCTATTCAATTAAGTTATAAGATTGATACACATTTTATACGCTGGTATAACAATAGGATGGCGACGAAAAGTTTAAGTACGTAATGAAGCCTAACTAACTCTGTGTTCGCGCTTGAAAAATTTTTAGATTTTCTCATAGTATGAAAGTCTATTCTTCTTGACACGTTACAGTAACTTGAAAACAAACCTTTCTAGGGTATGTGCAAAGCAATGAAATAGTTTCTTTTTAACACTACGAGAATAGAAAGGGTATTCATTCTTTCGTGCAATTACAGACTTAAAGAGGCAGACAATTATAAAAAAAAAAATTTTTAAGTTTTTGAAGTATAGTTTTCTTTAGTTATTAAACTTAATATAGTTTTATAAAAATATAAATTTTTAAAACTTAAGTCTGTAGAGTCTGTCTGCCTGTTACTTTCCTAGCCACCAAAGTGTTTTTAAATTTTATGTTTTATAAAAAAGATCATCAAGCCCAGCCAGGCATCTATAACGGTATTGCGAGTTAGTCCTCTCCTGATATTTCTGACAAGAAGATGATCTTACAACAGAACAATATAACGTTTATAATTAAAAGATATTAACTATTTAAACAAGAAATACGACAGAATTTATTTTGTTATAAATCTAACCAATCACGAATTAATATGTACCTTTTACACTTTTTTTTGAGTATTGGTACACAGGCTAAGAAACAGTGTTAGTACATTTTATAAATAAATAAAAATGAAAGTTAGGCGAAAAACCAAGATAATTATTGCTAATTTGTATAATTACGAAATTTTCATAACATATATAGCAGTGTAGACCTCTGGAATATTATTCTCACAGTGCACTACTAAGTAAAAAAATATATATCAGTAAGGATTACTTTGACGGCACAATACTACATTGTAAGTAGAGGTAATCTCTAGCATGTTGTTTGCTAGTTAAGAGAGTGCTGTGGTCTAAATAAATCCTTAAGCGTTCTTGGATACATATTTTTATTATTATTATGACTGTTAGGGTAGCTTTAAATTAGCGTATAAAGGTTTTATAAACATTGAGAGAAATGCGTAAACACAAATAAGTACGAAGCTAACTGCTTTGAAAAATCAGTCAGTTGGATACCTCCTTTCATCCGGTTACCTAACCCTCCACCACTGGTATATACAACAACTTAGCGATACGTTGCAAAGTTGTAAATGTTAAACGGTACATTCGGGGAAGTGTTCCGCTGATAACAAAGATATCTATACCTTCGCAATGCATTAAGTCCTACTACTCGAATATTTTTTTTGTACACTCACCGCACTCCATAACATTATTCATGTATGATTAAGAGTTTAAAAATTAAAAGACATTAAAAATAAGTTCCAAGCCCTTCGCGGTCTCCAGATTGGTCGACAGATACGTCGTCAAAATAACTAACAATGGACGTAAAGTCGGATTCCATCGCTTTTTTTGTTGTTGAGAAACTGTCTGCGTTATCAATGTAAGATTATGCGCAGGGGGTGATGGTGAAGTCTCGCTCTCAGGCAGAAAGCATAGGATATAGAAGCATGAGCTTGCCATCCTCGTAGCCAAAGATAGTTGAAATAGTGTTCCTAAATATCTTTGAAGAATATTAAGGCATTTAGGATTAAAATCGATGGGAATTAAAAAGGTAGTATTTGTTTTAAAGGTTTCTCACAAACAAATGGGGTGGATTACGTACACCTCCGTAGTAACTAATAAAACTACCCGACATTTAAAAGTTATAGCCCATCAATATGGAAAAAACAGTTGCAACTCTATTTTAAAACACATCTGTGAATGCTGATCTTGATGTTAAAATATTGGTTAAATTTTTAATAAATTGTAATCTTATGGGTAATAAGAATTTGGAAGGAAAGTGGCTGTTAGTCTCTCTATGGAACTATATTAGCCGATTATCTATGGTTTAAACTTTTATAGACTAATTTAGTACAATTACACGTTGAACTATGCATACTTTTTAAACGCAATAGTAATTTTAAGTTTATTATAGTGATATACGTAGTTGCCTTAAAGGTTTTAACCAATGGGTCTTGGAAGGCAAGAAAGTTAACAAGATTTTTTGTTTTAACTGTTGGAAGATGGATAAGAGTACGTTTATTAGATTCAATGTTACCAAGATGATGACTGCTATTTCTAAAAAATAGAATAAGTATAATATGCTGGAAGCTAAAAGTTACAAATGCTTCATGACTATTGTGGAATTAAAGAAACCAATTAAAATTACCTTTATTTAATCTTATATTTAATTAGTTAACTCGCTTTAATGCCGGTCAAACGGCTGCAGATCAACACCAGTACTCTGCGAATAACTAAGTATACTAAAATTTAGGCAAAGAAGATGAAAAAATTTAAGCTTAAATTTTTCCTAAACGTTGGCTTCATAGCATGACATGATAATAGGAGCCGCACTATATCAGAATTTACGAGGGCAAGATTAAATAAGCGACCATCAAGGACAGAAAAAGAGGGTCGGGTCAAAGCTCTTAACCGCTAAGCTACCACGACTCCCAATTCCGGTATGATGGTTTTACGTACTTAATTTGTTACACTACTTTGATAAATAAAGTAAAAAACCCTATTTTGCAAAAGGCAAACTGTTGCTGCGCTTTCTATGGCGGAAGCAGAATACATTTCGTTGGTATCTTATTTAACGGTTATTAAAAGGTTCCAATATTTCTTATAAAAAGTCGGATTTTTTCAAAAACTTTTGAAATATACATTTATAACCAACTTTGTCATTCATGTTGTTAACACACAACATAGGAAAAAGTTGTCAAGTCTTACGTTATCATTATGCTAAAAATATTTTTAAGAAAGGTTTGATTTCATTAACATATTATCCCACTACGGGAATAGTCGCTGACGAATTCACAGAGTTTAAACAAATAAATCATTCAAGTTTATAGCAAAATAATATAGAAACCATAATGTAGGGTAAATTCATTGGATCCTAATTTTGTAATAATCTAAGGTTATTAAAAAGAACTAATATTTAATTGCCTTTTAGTTTAGCTGATTTTTAAAGATGGTGCGAATATGCATATATTATATACCTATTGAATAAGTAAAAAAGCTGTTACCCATATTACCTTTCTTTTTTTTACGACTGTCAAGACTGTTTCACACCTAGGCGTGTAAGGGCGCTGGTCCTACAAGAGAGCGGTAGGGGAAATTTTAGCTTAAGATATGTAGGAAAAACTTAAACTTAACGGTTCCAAACGTTTATTTTTAACTAGCATTTTAAAAGAAAGTTGTCTGGTTTAAATTTAAAGAAAAAAAAAAAGAATTTGTAAAATACCAATACAAAGTTTCTATAATTATAAGAAGATACTATAGGTAAACAAGGAACACCAATAAATATACTAAATTGCTTAAATTGCACTTAAACACCGTACAGCAGAACTCTACAGAAGGTAACTTTACACATGTGAATTACTGGTATTGTAAGGTTTTCATAATGTGAAGACGTAAATATACAAGTTGTGTTAAATATGTTTTAACAAATGCCAAAAAAAAATCATAATTAAAAAAAATATTATACAAAAAAATTCCATATTAAAAAAGGTCTAAAGAAACTTTCTGTAAAACATTTCATGCTATTAATTGTAACCCTCCGCTTTATAATATAAACTACCATGTAAGAATTTTCCTCATGCTAAAAAATGGACAAGATAGTAGGGGTTGTGTGCGGCCCCTAATAATGTAGATAACGCAAGACCCATAACAAGCCAAAAGACCATAAATGTTTACAAAATGATAACTTGCACTTTAATATAATAATTTGGGATTTCAAAATCCATTAAGTTTTTTAAAGCTCAAGATTTCATATAATAGTTTTACCTTTGGTGAATGTTTTAAAATTCTGAATTAAGCAATGCTAACTGTGCAAAAGTCGGTCATCGCCTTCAAAGTTATTTCACAAGCGTTATTTGATAACTTTCCTCAAATGGAAGAATTGCAAACTTGTGGGCATCTAAATTAAAAAAGCCAAAGGACAGAAAAATCCCACTTCAGGAAGTAAAATAAATAAAAAGAAATTTAGCTTTAAGACTATAATTTAGTTAAATTATATTAACTTTAAATTGTTTTATGTGCAACCTTTTTTTTGCAATTTAAGGTAAAAATGTCGTGTTAATTTGCAGTTTTATGAATGGCTGCTTTCTGTAATATGTAAGCGAGATTAGCAAACATGTAAGCATGCCTTTTTTTAATTTTCCCAAACAGTAGAGGAGTCTTACATGTAATATTAGAACAGCATTTTGATATTTGCTATTGAATATAGCTCCTTTTTTTTTCTTATTAACTTGTATTTATTAAATTTTTTTTTGGATACTACATTGTTTGGGGAATTTATATTCTTTATACGCTTATTTTGTATATTTGATATGGAGTTATCGCCTTGTGAAAAAGCTATAATTGTTCCTGCTGCTTTGAAAAGTTTTAGGTAGGTGATATTATTACTTTTTTATTTTTTTATTATTTTATTTATTTTTATAAAGTTTAGAACTTGTTTGCGAGTTAAATGCCGTTATGTATTACGTTATTGAAGGAAAATATGTTGAATCTTCTCCTGTTTTCGTTAGTCTTGTTAGAGACAAAAAAAATAATTTGTATAAAATTGCAGCTGTTTCGGAGAAGGTAAAGACAGAAATTTAAATATATATATATTTTTTAATGTTATCTAAGAATACTTTATTTTTATTATTTATTAAAAATACTTATAATCTGTTACTTTCTATATACTTTTTAATTATAGTTTTGAAATATACATTTATTTGAATATTTTAATTTTTAATGGAAGGCCAAAATATTGTGGCACATTAGGCTTCCTTGTACTTTAAAAAAACTTAAAAGCCCTAAAAAGAAACATGTTCTTTTTTCTTTTAAACCTGAAAATCCTCTTGACAGCACAGTAGAAATAAGGGGTTTCCAGTTTCTTAAGGGAGGCGCTGTTTCCAACTTTATAAAGCGAATAGGTTACATATTTACTAAACAAATTTTTATGGACATTTTGAGAAATATATCTGATAATGTTTATTTTAAAGAAACTATAAACAAAATAAAGAATAACCCGCCTTCCGCTGAGCTTAACTCAAAGCTGCACACATGCGGTGGGCATACTACTTCTGTATTATCCTTAACTAAATTTAATTTTTTTGCTTACAGCATAGTTAATAATTATATTTATTATAATTAGTAAAATATTATTTCTACTTTGTTAATTGCTTAGATAATAACAATAAAACGAATAAAGGTGCGTCTGTGAAGGAAGTTTCTTTTCCCAAAACTTTGAGATCTGTAAATTTTATTACACTGGGCCAGTGAAAAATAACTAATTTCCACGTTTATATTGTAGAATTCTGTATTCTCTAGCCAGTCTGCTTTACATAACTTAAGCTTCCCAGCGAAACCCAGTTATCCAATAACGTATCTGAAGTAGATTTTATTTTCGATTTGGTTATTTTTTTTTTGAAGTACAAAAAGGGTCCCTTCGGTTGATAATTTGACACTTTCTAAATCTCTTACCTCGAGCACTTCGCAAGATTTAACGGTTGGCCGGAACCGTTCTGTGCCTGCGAAGGAGTCTCTTGAGATCGTGACTGATCTGGAAAGGAGAAGGCTTATTAATCGCCTTAACATTGAAACAGCCAAGTATCAAAGAAAGCTGAAAGAGTTGGAACTACAAAATAGTAAAGTTTTACAAGAAAGAGATTCTTATCTAGAGCAACAAAGGATTGAAAAGGAGTTAGAAATTCTAAAGCAGACTCAACTTTTGCAAGAGGAGCTTGAAAAACAAAAGAAATCTTTAGAAGAAACTCAGCGTGTTCAACTCGCGAAGCACCAAGAGCTTATTGAACTCGCTCGTAAAGAAACTGAGCGTTTAGTAAAGCAGCGGAACGAACTTGAGGAGAAGCTAAAGGAGGAGACTTTTAAGCATAAACAAGCATTGGAAGAAGAGAAGTTAAAATTAACTATTGCTGCTCAGCAAGTTAATTCCAGTAAGATTCTTGAGCCGCATAAGCAAACATTGGGAGAGCAAACATTGGAAGAAGAGGGGGAAAAAATAATTATTGCTGCCCAGCAAGTTAATTCCAGTAAGATTCTTGAGTCTAGGACTTTGCTTAAGCCGGTAGATCACCTGGAAAACGGCGGGGTAACCGTTACTCCCGACTTGTCGTTGAAGTTATCTCACCCTTCTGCTCCACCTTCCCCGTCAACCTTAGAACAGTCTTATAAACTTTTTCCAAAGCTTTGTTTTAGCGCTGAAGATTTGACAGAAGGCTCTAAAAAATTAAAAAAACAACACGCGACTCTGCTCCCTGCAGAAGGTGTCTCTTTAACCACTTTAAAAGCTGATGAAAATCCGTTGGCAGCCATTCTACACGCTTTAGATAAAAGAGCCTCTGTTATGCACGACGAGGATGGTGATGTTGACGATTTTTTAGATAACTGGGGGTGAGTAGAGTATTTAAATAAAAAAATTGGTTAAATTTCGCCGCTATTGAAGTAAGGAAGCTGTAAAGTAGTAAGATAACTTATATTTTGTATATAAATAAAAATAAATTAATTTTTTACACTATTAATAACGTTATTTGGGTTTCTGTTGATTTTAAGAGGACTCTAGGTTTATTCCAAGTTAGTTACAGATGTAACTTTACTTGTACAAAGAAAGTCATAATTTAAAAACAACACGGTACTTTCGCTTGCATTGTGGTACTCTCAACTTTTGCATTTGTAAAATTTTTGACCTCGCCAAGAAAATTCTTATTAAAGTATCTAGCCTTAACGCTCTTTCATCACTATCGCTTCTAATGCTCCTTCTAGCTCTTTAGTAAATTGTTATGCTAAAAGACGACTAGTCATCCGTTTATTAAGGTCGACGACTTTGCTTTTAGAGTTTGGGTCTTCAACTATAGTCTTAAACCAACAGTTTCTTTGACCCCATTTGTGTGTAATCTCCAAAAAAGGGTAAATGACTCTTTTCCCCTCTCTTGTTTTATAAATTTATAAGGGAAATCACAGTTAAGTTTAACGGTGATATAAATACTTAACTATTATGCAGGTTAAATTATATTTAGGGTTCGTTTTTTTTTGTTTCAAGGTGGTACCTCGGTGCCTGCAAGCAACATTTTTCGTAACATCTTTTTCAGATATTATGATTTCATTACAACTGTTAGCCTCAAATCATACAGGTATAAAAACTTTCGAAAAACAGCCAACGTAGTTTATTTTAGTTAAAAAATAAGCACTACTTCTTAAAGAAAAGGCTTACTAAGCATTGCTAAACAATTTACAAGCTGTAAACTAACTTAAATTCGGTTAAGCTTTGTATTCCTCCTCCATTATAACTTGAATTAGCAAGTAGAAATTTACTATCTGAAAGTTAAGTTGCGAGTAACCGTAGCGCTATGACAACTAATAGTTTACCATAGTCGTTGTTACCCTCAAAAGTTAAGTAAATTTTTTTTTAAAAAGGATTTCTCTAAAAATTAAATCAAGTCGGGGAACCGAAGTAAAGCGCTGGTCGTATTTAGCGGAACTATACTAATGACACATTAACACTCGAGCAATAACAGTTAGCAAAGCCCCGAAGTCATAAAATTTGGGTTTTAAGTAATAAAATAGTTCAACAAAAATATTTATTAAGTTAGAGATGATGGAATACAAGAGATTCCAAGCAATGCGCATTGAATCAACTATAATAATTTTAAAAGAAAAGGGCTCGCTTAAATAGTAGTAATTACTCTCTTTGTTTCATTTGAGAGCGGGTCGAGCCAGTCGTAACCACTGCAGGACTAATATATATATATACTAAAAAAACTGCAAGAGAAAGTTACACGTTTCTCTAAAAGATGCATTTGAGTTTGATAAGCGGGTAACGGCTTGCATTAAGGCCAGAAAAGAGAGCTCAAAGCTTTCTTTGAAAATAAACAATTCTTTACGCAAAGAGCACCAGAGTTAGACTAGAACGCTAATAAACCTGTAAACTCTGACCGGTGTGCCACGTGCGTTACACCACCAAGCAGTCTTTTTACTTAAGTCCAAGAAAGACGAGGAGGCATAGACCCTACAAAGAAAATGTGCCAAGGATGCGCAGAGAAAGGGCGGGCGACTTGTACTTTACTTTTCGCAGGTTAGCTCAGAGACGCTGAGAAAACACGTGAGGAACTTACAGGTATCTTCTACAAAGCCAAAGTCTAAGTGTATACGTATAAGTTCCTCGTAAAGATTGGGCTTCTGCGGGAAACAAACGAGTCTGAGAAAAGGCAAACTTTTTTTTTCTAATTTTAAAGAAAGTGTCTTTAACTCTTCTATGAGCCAAGGCTCAGCAGCGCGGTTCTCTTGAACAGGCGGCTAAGTACAAAAGAATGGTAAAAATAGTTGGTATCGGCGCTGTCTAAGCGCTGGAGGGGAGCCCATTTGGACGTGACTTACAAGTAATTGGATGATATAAAAATAAATAGTTGATTGGTTAAAATGTATTATAAATGTAGCAAAAGTAAACTTAATAGTAACAATTATACCGATAATAATAAATGTCTAAAAATTTTATAAATTTAAAAAAATAAAATAAAAGGCTGGTATATTCAAAATAAACAGATAATTATCATTATAATAATGGAAAATAATACAAAAAAAATTCAAAATATTAAAATACTTTTAAAAAAAAGTTTTATTTTACTTTTCTAAAAGATTACTGTTTTAAAAAAAAATTTACAGTAATTTTACTTAAATATTAAATCCTAAAAAATATTAATAGTAAAAACTAAAAAATCACGATATTATTCTTTACACAATAAAAATAATGATAAAAAAAAAGGAAAAAAAAACTGTTTTTTTAGCGCCAAAACTTTTGCCGTTTTGGCGCTCTCGTAGTTTTTTAATGAAAATTTTCGTCAAACTCTGATTGCAGAAAATTTCAAAACTGTTGGGGTTGAGCGCAGATCCTTTCAATCATTATTGTTAGTATTCATTATTCTAATTATCATTACTTTAATTATTATGATTATTATTATAATTTTTAGTATGAAAATATTGTTATATAAAACAGGTGCAATAATAATTATATTATAAAAACAAAGTACCAATAAGGAATATTGTTATTATACCATATTATTATATTATATTTTGTATAACAAATTCCGGTTATGGGGAATATTTTATGTTTTAAATTATTATAATTATTAATTCTTATTAACAACAAAAAGTTATTTATAATATGATAAAATAATAAAGTAATTATTTTTTTATTAAGAATAACAATAAGTTATTATTATTTTTATTTATTTTTTCCTTTTTCTTTCTTTAAATGTGCTGCTCACTTGAATAAATATATTCACTATTATGATTATGATTATTGTTAGAACTAACTATAATACTTTAAGATATTTAAAAAAGTTATAAAAACTTTTGTAACTTTAAATTATTTTTTATTTACATTATTAAAAAATTATAATTTAAAATATTTAACGCTCAAAAGTTTTATTATAATAATAAAAAACATAATTTAAAATAATAAATTATATACTTTTTCAGTTGTCGTTCTAAACTCCACTTCGCGTAGTTCTTACGATTTAACTATAGCGCTTTAATTATACATAGTAAAAGGGAGGTAGGAGTAAAACTCTTTATTAAACTACCTGGCACTACGCCCAAAAAATTATAATCTTTGAAGCAAGTGAATTATTAATGGTTTTACGCGCTGCTTCGCGCACGCGCATATTAACATGTTTCTAATTGAAGTTGGTTTCACGTGGTTTGTATACGCAAATCTTCCAATCTAACTTTAAACTGAACGCGCTTTTATCCTTAATGTACCAATAGAGACAATTTAGTTTAAACGCGCATAGCTAACCCAGTAAAGAAATAAAAAATTTTCTTATACTTTAAAACAAAGCAGTTGAAATAAAAAAGGATTCTTTAATGTTTAAAGGATATAATAATACTTTCTTTTAGTAAAAAAAATTAAAACAAAACAAATAATAAAAGCGAATAATAAAAAAAACGGTATAAAAATTAAATTCTTAAATAAGCAAAAAGAATAATTTATTAATTATAAAGTAATAATCATAATATAAACTTACCAATTACAACTATTCATATCTTCGATCTTTTAACTGAAATAATAATAATAAGAAATATAATAATTAATAATTAAAAAAAAATACTTTAGAAATAAAGATAATAATAGTAAATATATATAGGATAATGATATACTAAGAAATTTTTTTTTCTTGAGAGGAAAAACTCGTAAGAATTTAAAAAGACATTATTATTATAATCATTATCATTACCGTTATTATCGCTCTTAGTATTATTATTATTATTATCGTTATTATTACCCTTATTATAATGATTATAATTATAATTATTTACTAACCAAAAGTTTTATAAAGGTTTTCGAATTTATCAAAATAGAAGGTTCCTTTAATAGCAATACAAAGGGCATAGTTCTCTGGATTGCGTTGAAGCCCTTTCGGTTAATAATATTTTTTTAATGAAAATAATTACGTTATCTTTTTAAATAAATAAAAGTTTACAAGAAAAATTAAACTTTTTTACTATTTAATATAAAAGAATCTTAAAATCAATACTAATTTAAATTTTCAAACTTTAAAAAATAAAAACATATATAAAAACTTTTTTAAGGGTTATAAATAGTAAAAAAACTTCAGAAATATTTAGACTATAAAACAAAATATCATTTCTTTATAGTGGTAATAATAATATATTTCATAACATAAAAAAAAATTAATAAGTAATAGTATTGAAAAAAATAGATATTTCCAAAAAAATATTAACTAACGTGATAATATCAAAAATTTTAATAAAATAAACAAACAATAAAAAGTTAAAAATTAATATTAATTAATACTTATACTATTAATATATAAATATATAAAAACCTTTAAAAAAATGTCGGTTATTAATCGAAAGTGTATTTTTTACTAATAATAACAAAAAAGAAACAATAAAAAATATATTAAGCAAACGTTAATTTTATAATAATAATATATAAATGAGAAATTTGCAAAATATCAAAAAAAAAGTATATTTTATGACATATATATAAATTGAAAAAAGTAACTAGAAAAAGTCTAAAGTTTATAAAGAAATAAAACTTATGAAAACAATTATTACAGGATATACATTTTTACTTTGTAATTTTTACAAATTCTAAAAGAGCTTAAAATAATATAAGTAAATAATTTTTATAATAAAAATGAAAAAAATTCAATTAAATTTTAAATAATTGTTTTTGCGGTTACTTCGAACTTATAGTTTTAAAATTAACTTATTTTGGAGATTTTAGAATTCTTCATAACAAATTCAGTTCTGTGACTTTTTTTAAAATAAAAAAGTAAAATTGTGTTATTTATTATAAATAAATTATTGATAATTCCATAAATTTAAAAGAAAAATATATACCTATTTTAAAAAATTAACTCGCCAATTTTTTTAACGAACGCAAATTTAAAAAGAGCAATTCAGTGGCTTTCCTAAACCATACTGTATATATGAGTCACACTTTAAAAAATAACAATAAAAAAATGAAAATTATTGCTTTAATTATATTTATATAAATTGTAAAAAAAATTTATAAATTTTTAGAAATTAAAAAAAGTACTAAGTTTAGATCAAAATATTTTCTATTAAATTTTTTTTAAGCTGTCTATATCTTATTAATTTTGCATTTTGATAAAAACAAAATTATATAAAAAGTTAAATAAATGTCAATTCGCTCCAAATAGTATTTTCAATGAGAAGTAAAGCTCATATTAATAATTAAATTGGAAAAACTATTAAAAAAATAAACTTCCTCGATCTATATAAGCATTTCTAATAGTATAAATTTTATTGAATTAATAAAATACAAACAAGAAAACTAAATTTACATATCATAGGAAAAAAATACTTATTAAAAATAAGTTATAAAAACAATGTCTTCGCAAAAGAGAAAAGCAAATATTTTCTTATAAAGATCTAAATTACTAAATTCCAATAAAAAATGAAATTATTTATCATAAAATTTAAATTTGTATGTTTATAATACAATACACCGATTTCCAAATTCCGGTACTAATAATGTAAATGTTTTTCAATTTTTATAAATGTTCAACGTTATTATGTTCACTATACAGTTAATAAATATTATTCATTACATTATGTAAATTTATTTATTATTTATATATGTTAGCTCAATTATAAATATTTGTGTAAATTTTTTTATGTTAAAGAAGCTACTTAAATAATCTGGATAAAATTTTATTAAAAATTAAAAGCATAGTGCTGATGTAATAAATTAAAAGAGTTTGATATGTTACTTTTATAATAAAACAAATTATATAATACATTATTATAGAATCCAAACTATGGAAATAGTTAACTTTTTTTTTTTACTATAGAATTTTATGAAGAAATCTTTCTCTCATAGAATAATTTAAAGTAAAAAGGCTAAAACAGAAAATTAATGAGTAGAATAAAATTGCCATCATTATAGTCAGTCCATGTATAAATTATAATAAACTAAATATATATATAAGTTTCGGATACTCCGACTACGAGCGACTTCAGTACAGTTTTTCTTGGAAAAATCCAGGCTAAAGTCAACCTCTTCTTATTCAGATTTAAACCTTTAAAAAAAAACTTGCGAGTATTTATAATAAACATATTTTTTTTTAAAAAAAAATGTATTGTTTATAAAAGATAACTTATCTTTATTATTTTAGGTAATACAAGATAAAACCGAGAGTACATATAATATCTATTATCCTGTGTTACACTACTATTTACAAAGTGTAGCACGCTACAATATTTTAGCCGTAGGATATAGTTTCCCCACTATTCGAATTGTCAAGGTTAACGTAGTATTCACTTTAAAATAGTTAAAAACATAATGGAATGGCAAACACTATTTTTAAATTCTCTTTCTTTTACTTAATACAATATAAACAAAATATATTTTTTTTTCATAATTTTTGTACCTTTAAAAACTATTGTCCAACGAGGAAAATAAAGGGGTAGAATCCCTTAATTTAAAATTGAATCAAAATGTAAAAACATGTAAATATTTTGCCATAAATAATCTAAAATTGAACTTTTATTGTTAATTTTATGCCTTAAATGTTTCTTTTATTTTTACAAAAGATGGGAGTTCCTGGCCACCACAGAGCGCATTATCATCACTAGTCATGAATACATCTTTAAAAATAAAAATAAAAAGCATACTTTAGCCGTATTGACAAAGAGCAGAAGAATCTTTTCTTTTAATTAAAAATACAAGTATACTAAATCTTCTGTTAAATATTTTAAGGGAGAACGATTCTTTTAGCTTGCTAAAGTGTAACTTCCTCGTCCTTTTACATAGAATAGATGATGTTAAAATGGTAATAATAAATTTTTATACATTAACAAATGTATAGAAATCTTAACAAAAAACAAATGGTCATGCAGTAAGAAGTCACGTTTGCAGACAAGTGTAGCTTTTGCGACTTTTTTAATAAAACCAAAGTACTACTTTCAGTCCTACAAAACTTAATTCTTTAATTTTTCTTTTTAAATAAAATTTTAGCATAATTTTAGCATAATTTTAGCAAAACTCACTAACCCGAGTAAAACTAACCAACAAAGATTAAAATTTTAATTTAACCAATATTATAATTTGTATTTTTATTTGTGTAGATAAAACTAATAGAGATAAAACATTTTTTAGATTTTTTTTCATCTTTATGTTTAATATGAAGAGCTCTCTGGTAGAAACAACAAAGAAAGATGTTAATGGGGCAGTGTTGCACTAGAATCTAATGAAAAGAAGTCTTTTATCTTATAAATACTCTTCTGTATTACCCTGATTTATTTTTGAAAGCACGACTGCAAAAAGTTTGCATACTTGCTTAACTGCTTAATGGTATGTACGCAGGTACAGTTTTAAATATAAAACCGTTTATAGTTTAATCTTTATAGAATTCATAATTCGCTTTATTTGCTGTTGTTGATGAAAAGTAGAGGACAATCATAATGTTATTCATTTCCGAAGTGAATAACTTCATTAGTAACCGCGTATTAAGTTTCAAACTAGTAATAAATTTAATATGACCTATTTTTTTTAACGCTGTATAAAAGACTGTAGTGGTTATTTGTTTATTTTTAAACTAAGTATTCATATTCATTCAACTAAATGTTACCCTGTGGTGACTTTCAACTAAGTTAAATAGGAGATTTGTATATAAAACTAGGCGCTATACATAACGTCCATGTTTTACGGCTAAGTTTAACCTAATTCTCGTTCATTACAAAGATCATGAACGACGCATATAGTCGGTTCATCATTTCATTTTAGAGTATTTTTTTGTTCTTAAATGTTAATAAGAATCTAAGATTTTTAAGGTTATAAAGTTAAACAAGTATATTTCTTTGTGCGGGGCCAAAAAAAATTTGAACAATTACTTTACAAATATCTGTTTTTTTTGAATCTTAAATCTTGCTTTGTTTTAGTTTTTAAGGTATAAAAATTTTTTAAACAAATAAGTAGGATTAAAACATTATTTTATTTATTTAGTTAAATATGGTTATACATATATTGTTCTGTTTTATATCTACAATAAACTTCTTACTTAATAAAGAAATACATTTCTATAATTGTTTTATATAAATCACTTCTAATTATTTTTTTAATCAATAATAATTATCCTTCGGGGACAAATTTCTAGGCCTATAATATAATATATATATATTTGTCTTCTTCACACCCACAAGAATTCCGTTGCGCCCGTCGATTACTATAACTAATAGTCCAACGATCTTTTCTGTGGTAAAAAAGTTACTGCAGAATATTTAGTAATAAAGGTGACTTTACACTCCTTACTTTACCGCTCCAGCGAAATAGAAGTAGATATAGAGAGAGGGGCCTTGACTGAGTGGTAAAAGGGAAGGTGGAAAAAAAAAAGGAGGGAGGGCTGCCCAGCAGCACGCCGCCGCCCTCTTCGACTTCGCAGAAGCTGAGCTGAGGGAGATAAAGTAAGAGAGAGTTCGGCTTTGCTACGCCTGAGGGGCAGCAAGCGGACACCAGCTCGGCAGCCCCGTTGTCCTTGTGTTGAACTGAACTTATATACCTTACCTCGTCCCACTTTTTAAGTTACTTTAAAAAAATTAAAAATTTATAAGTTTTCTTATACAACTACCTTCTTTTCTGTTGATACATTTTAAAATTATCGTGGTTCGCTAATAATAAAAAATAGTTATAGTACTGAAAAGGGAGTATAAAAAGCAGAAGTAATCTTTGTATCTTATCTACTGATCTGAAAAAGACTACTTAATTTTGTTAATCTGTGGTAAGTCCACGAAAAAACCTCAAGTATTTTTATATTGGCTGCCGCTATTAACTTTAGATTTAAATATAAATTTTTTTAAGTGCAAATTTTTAAAAGTAATAAATTAACTATATAAGGGGGGTGTTCACAATTTTTTTAATTGTTTGACATTTCTGGTAATTTTTTTTCGTATAGTATGTTTTGATCTTTTTAAGTACTTTAGTCGGTAGTGTATAATATTAAAAAAGTGTACCCCTTTCTTTTTGAATCGAGCTATATATAATTAGCTCTTTTATTTATTAAATCTATTCTTATTTACTTAATGATTTCCATATCTGTACCTTTTGTTGATATTGTTGGTATATTTATAAACTATTACTTATATAATATAGTAGATTGTATATTATAGCCTATAAGATATAATATAGGGTTAAATATTCAACACGATTACAATTTATTTGACAAATTAAGGCTCCTGGGGGGCACCACGCAACCACCATAAATGAAAGAGAGAAAAAAAAGTAGTCGTGCTCGAACGATTTCATCTATATACCTGTAACAGTTAGTTCACAAGGGTTAAGTCCCCGTCTCTACACTTAAAATTTTGCTGACAGAGTTACTCCTTAGTCGAAGTTTAAAAAAAAAAAGTAGCAGGTTTTTCAGTTTCTTTAATTTGTTAGCTATGTGCATTTTTCAGCGTAATGCACACTAAACAAAAAGTTTGATTTATTGATTGCGCGTATTTAACGTTCGAGAACCAATATACTAGTTATAAACATGTAAGTAATGTGCGCGAATTTGAGCAGCATATAATTTTTTAAAACAGCAACTCCCCATCGCTCTAGAGATAACACCGCAGATTGTGGCGCGAAGTAATTCGAAAATGAGTTCTAGTTCTACCTTTTCCTTTATCAGTTATAATTTAGGTGCTATAGTTAAATCGTGAATACTTTCTCTAAGCGGAAGTTTAAAACGATCATCTACTTAAATAAAACTAGCACTTTGCCTCTTCCCATCACTCGTTAGCGAGCTCGCTCATCAGCCGAGTGAGTGTACCTGGCTAGCCGAATCTATAGGTCTATTATGACTTTCCGTTGGAAGACGACGTTCAAGAAGTCTATCCGAAGATCCCGGTGAGGAACTTCCATTTCGCACCTTGTTTTGTTGCACTTGGAGTGCGGAGGCTATGGCTGTGTAGTCACAGTTCCTAGCAGAAGACGCATATGTTACTATTGAATGAAAAACACATACAACCGTCCTTTGTCGCAGCAATAGCTTTCCCTTGCTGCATAGTAGGAGTAAAAGCTCCTTAACCACTACTTAGGCCTCCGTCAGTATGCCGACAAAAAATTGTGGTCGACGGAGACTCCCAGGTGTTTCGCTTGCGTCAAGGCTAAAACGCCAACCAGGGGGTAGGGGGGGGAGGAATTGTTATTAAGGATGATTATCTATAGTATTCACTAACAATTTTTTTGGAGGCTGCGCCAACAGTGTACAGTTAATGATAAAAGCTTAAGTAGTCTGTTTCCATATTTAGTTAAAAAGCGATAAAGCGTTTGTTACAAGTGAAGGTGGAAATTAGCATAGGTGGAATGATTTCTTTTCAATTGGTCTCTCTTTTATACTTAGTGGCCTCACTGCGTAATACCTTTTTTCACTTTGTTAACTTTACTGCCTTTGGTTTTTTACTTCTTAAGTTTAGTTTTATGCTGAGTAGGTTTTAATAATTACCTCTTACCCTATTATGAACTTACTAGATATTATACTTAATACTAGTGTGTAATTACTGGTATTGGTATGTTGACCTAGTCTGTTTGCAAAAAGAAGTCGTGGAAGATCTTATAGCCGATTATGAACTGTTTGAGGACAATTTGGGTGGAGATCACGTAACAATCCATTTCTACTATACTTTATTATAATAAGATCTTTTTTATAAGATTAAGCGTCATTCTCACTTTACAATTAAGTCGCTTTTCCCCTTGGGCAGAGACAACAGTGTTTTATTATTTATAAACAGTTTTTCATGTAGCGTTTTTTACACTTAGCTTCTTTTATAGTTTTTACACTGGAAAAAAAAAACTCTACACTTTTAATCGATGTGAAAAATGTCGCCAAAAAAACTATTTTTACCGTTGAAGCAATCCAAGCTTCCCTTAGGCATCCTTTATACTGGTCTTTTGAGATCGCACAACGTACAATTACCACAGGAGGCTTCCTGAGCCGCTTTTTAAAAATTACAATTGTACAAAAAGAAAAATATCAATTTTTTTATAAATTATATTTGGTTAACAGTTTTCAAAAGAAATTCGTTATCAGCAAGTTCTAAGCCGTCAGGAGTTGTCGCTAGAGTACTCCATTAAACCCAGTAGAGTTATCATTCCCCAAAATATGGGATGACATATTAATTCGTTACCGTGATCAAGAAGGTTACAAGATGGTTTTAAAGTAAAACTTTAAATTTTATTTTAAAAATTACAAAGCATTTATAAATTTATGATTGTTTACAATTTGCTTAAAAGGTGTGAGATTTACTGATACCATTTTTAAGAGACTGTCAATTTTTTAGAGGATTCTGGTTTAGACATCCAAACTACTTTTATGCTGTCTTTGCTCTGTGGTTTAAAATGTTTTTAAATAATTGTTTTAGTAAAAAATTTTAAATTAAAATTTATTGGGCTAACTACCATGCTAAGTTGATTTAAATCCTTTTTAGGTTTTTTTTTTGCTTTCATTTATCTTTTTATAATTCCCATAACTACTGCTGGTAGGTTCAGATTAATATTTTTATAATAATTTTTTAAATAAACTTGGATGCCGCAGTTTTTAAAAAACCGAAATTCAGTCGAATGAAACGGATAATAAAAAATTAGCTGTCCGAGACGACTGGCTCCCACCAGGACTAACTAAAAAGGAAAGTTTAAAAACCAAAAAAAATTTAAAAAAAAATTAATTCATTAATTCAACTAGAACGCTTGCTTATTTTATCCTACAACAGTTTACCTTTTCATAAAATTTAAATAAAAATTTTTTTTAAAAAATTTATTAATTATAATTCGGTTAGTAAAGTTTTGAAGTTCATCAACTTTCAAAATTTTTAAAAATTAATATGAAAACTCTAAAATATAAGCCTTTTATAAAATTCTATTATTTTTAATACGTTCTCATAAACACGTCATTTTTCTTCAGCGAAGGCTAGCGTCGTTCTATAAACTTCCTGACCAATCAAGCTTTTTGCCTATAAAATAATTTAAAAAGTTTGTTGAC